AACAGAAAGTAACTAGAACACCCAGGCTAGCCTTGAACTCACTATATAGTAGAAGATGACCTTAAACTTCTGATCCTCCTCTGGCCTCCACCTCCCAAGTGCTGAGAACACAGCCATGTACCACAATGCCCAGTTTATGAAGTGCTAAAGACCAAACCCAGGGTTTCATACATGCCAAGCAACCACTCTACCAACTGAGCTACATCCTAGCTCCGGAATCATTTAGCTTTTATTTAGACCTCAGATGGTGTCCTACAATGCCGATGATTTAGATACATTCATGTGCTGTCTTAGTTACTTTCTGACTGCTGTCATAAAATTCCATGACAACAGTAACTTAAGGGAGAATTTATTCTGGCTCACAGTTCAAGGGGATAGTCTTTCGTGTCAGGAATTCAACGTGTTGGGAGCTTGAAGCAGCTGGTCATGTGGCATCCACAATCAGGAAGTTGGGAGCAATGAACAGTTCAAGGGGATAGTCTTTCGTGTCAGGAATTCAGCGTGTTGGGAGCTTGAAGCAGCTGGTCATGTGGCATCCACAATCAGGAAGTTGGGAGCAATGAATGCTGGTGCTCAGCTTGCTTTCTTTATGCAACCTAGGCTCAGAGGATGGTGCTGTTCACTTTCAGGATGGGTCTTCCACTGCAACTACCCTCTCAGTATAATCCCTCTCAGGCATGCCCAGACACTAAATAAGCCCTCACAGGTATATCTCCTAGGTGATTCTAGAGCCTATCAAATTGACACTCAGCACTAACCATTCCAAGTGCCAATGAGTCACAGGTTATACTTATAACCAGACTCTGCTCCCCACTTCCAAGCTTCTGTACCCAGCAGTCTGGTCAGTATCTCCACTTTCCTAACTGACAACAACCGAATATCAGTCTACAACATAATTCCCATTATCCTGATTCACCTTGCTGTGCTGAGCCCACTCCAAGCCCCATCGTTATAGCTGGTTGGCCCAGGGACATCAGGTTCTAACTGAGCCCACCTCTGCTCACATTCCACGGCCAGATCATTGGCCCCAACTTCAGTGGAGACCTGACATGAGGCCCTTGCTGCATGTCCATCACCCCAACATGGACTATAACCTAGATTCTGCACACGGGCCTTCTGGAGGCTTTCCTGCTCATCCCTCCTATATAATGTCTCAGTCCTGCACCTGGAGGGAGCACTCGAAAGCTCAAGTCAGGTCATACGCTCCTCTGTCCAAAACCCAACAGTGGCTTGGCACATACAAGCAAAACTGAAAATCCTAACAAAGCCTCAGAGCTGCAGTGAAGGCACAGCTGGCCCCGGCCCTGACTCCTGCTGCCTGCTTTTCTACTTCCCCAGCTGTGGCCACCCCAGCTCCTTCCTTGCAAGTAACAGGCACACTCTGAGACTCTTCACATTGGCTGTGTCCTCTGCCTAGAGCACTCACACTCTGCCAGGGATCTGTGAGATGAACTCAAATGCAAGTCCAAATCATCTAGGCCACTCCACCTGCCTGCTTGAAATGGCGAGCTCTTTCTTGTAACACTCAGCCATCTCTCTGGCTGAGTTTATTAGCAATGAATTGTTTATTAGCAATATGTATCATTTATCATTATTATGCTTACTGACCCATCTCACCCTGGTATAATACTGACAGGAGGCCCAGGATCTTGATCTGTTTAGTACCCAGAGAACCCAGGTATTTAGAAGCACAAGTAAAAGGCAAGCCTGGGAAAGAAATTTCCCTTCCAACCTCTCAATGCGTACCAACCAGCCATTTGTTCTCCAGTTCCCTGAACTGTTACTATGACATATTGTTCTAGTTTGTCTCTCCACTGCTGTGACAATTCACTCTGACCACTACCAACTCGGGGAGGAAGGGGTTTATTTTTCTTAGATCTCCCAGGTTATAGTTCATCAGGGAGCCCAAGGTAGGCATTCAGGGCAGGGACCTGGAGGCAGTAGCTAGAGCACAGACCACGGAGGAACGCTGCTTACTGGCTTGCTCCCCTGGCTCCTGCTCAGCCTGCTTTCTTATACAACACAGGACCATCTGCCCAGGGGTGGCACCACCCACAGTGGGCTGGGCCCTCCCACATCACTCAACAATCAAGAAGATGCCTCACAGACATGGCCACAGGCCAGTCCAATGGAGGCAATTCCCCAACTGAGGCTCCCTCAACCCAGGTGTCAAGTTGACACTAAAGCTATCCAGCACACATATCAAGAGGACATGCACATTCAACACACACACACACACACACACACACACACACACACACACGCACGAGAGAGAGCGAGAGAGAGAGAGAGAGAGAGAGAGAGAGAGAGAGAGAGAGAGAGGTTGAAACTTGGAAATGCCTAAGGCCCTGTGGAAGAAGAAGCAGAGCTTGAGTCCAGGCTGATGAAGGACCATCGGATGCTGCTGGCTTCTAGCTACCCACCTCCGTCTCTCAAGCTCTCCCTGGGGAGAAGGGACGCTGCCTCTGCTGGGTTCTCAGTCAAATGAGCCAGGCAAGGATGCCAGCAGACTACCTGGAGCACAGGAGGCTGTGAGGGCAAGGGTCCGCTGGAGACAGCAGAATACTCAATGTGCATTGTTGGAAAGCCTGCCTCTTAACACACTTTCATGTCCTTTGGAGAAACAGAGGTTTACTATGATCTGCCATAAGTCAGTACCCTCATCTTACCTGGTTCTGAGCCTACTGCACAGAACTTTATTTTTTAAATTAAAGAGAAGTCTTGAATGACAGAGGGATGATGTTATTATGAGAGACAGAATGAACTCAGTTACCTCACTTCTACAATGATCAATATTTCACAGGTTGCAAGTGACCACAGTGCCCTCATTCTTCCAATGGGTAAGCAGACATGACAGGAGCCCCTGACAGGGAAAATCCACTCAGGTCTTCTCTGCACTGGAGTCCCATGTAAGATGTCATCCAAAGACACACTGAACGCAGAGCCCCCAGAAACTAACTGAAAATGTGCTTATGACACAGGAGCTAAAGAGCCAAGAAGGAAGTAGGAAAGGGATGGGCAATGAAGGACATCTTAAGGAAATAAGTTTGTGTGTAATACAACAGATATTGCTGTGGTTGGGATGGAAATTACTAGAGGGACGTGCATCTCATCTAGAGAACAGCTAAGCTGAAAACAAGCAACACGATGCATGGGGTTTTAGGCAGATTTCATAAACACTAGATGTTATAACAAAGGTTAGAATTTTCATTCTTATAAAATGACAAAAGGGGGTTGGAGAGAGCTCAGTGGTTAAGAGCACTGGCTGCTCTTGCAGAGGGCCTGGGTTCGGTTCCCAGCACCCACATGGCAGCTAACAACCATCTATAACTCCAGTTTCAGGGGATTTTTTTATGACTTCCATGGGCACTGCACGACACAGGTGCACTTACATACATGCAGGCAATACACTCATACACATAAAGAAACAGTAAAAAGTAAATAAATATTAAAAAAATAAAATGACAAAAGGTGTCCCCATCGCACTAGTAAAAGAATATCAAGTTTCTCAGAGGACTAAACTCAGCTCGGTTGTGTCCTCTGCCTCTATAATACTGATGCCCACAGGTGATAGAAAAACACCTATGTGACTTTTAAGAGGAAAACGTCTCAAGTCTAGAAAGCCTTGGCCAGCCAAGTTGCTTGCGTAATGGGATGGTAGATGCGCTCTGTGAACTCTGTAAGGATTCATAAAATAAACTGTCCGAGGAGGTCCCCAGGGAAGGCGATTGCTCAGCTTTCCACAGAGGATGGATGAGAAGAATGAAGAGCTCAAGACTGACAGAGTCAAGGCCACATTCACAACGGCTCCCACCTGTCAAATGCTCAGAGGCCCAAGCCTGATACCAAAGCTATGCATATGTTTCTAAACTCACCTAAGTCTCAAAATGAACCAGTAAGCATAGTATCCCCATTTTGTTGATGAGAAAACCAAGTTTTGGGGGTTCTCCAAGTTTTGGATTATTCAAACAACGCATCAAGGTAAACTCACGGAGAGTAGCAGAGTTGGAATTCTAGAATGTGACCCTAGCAGTCAGGCTCCTTCAGTTATTTATTTTTGTAATATCCTTGTTATTTATTATGTTTATGCTTGCCTATGCCTTCATATCGCTCTAAGAGAAACGAACACTGGTTTTGAAATAAAACATCAGGAAGCCTTTCCCCTTCCAATTAAAATAAAGCCAACGACATCAAGCAAATTACTTTACAGTGCCAAATAGAAAAGAGCTGTAAAGCTATTTCAGAAAGGAACCCTTGTTAAGAAAGCAGGTGGGTGAGATATAAGTATCTATCAAGGCTGAATTCAGTATTTTTTTCTTTATGGAGGTATGCGGTGGAGGTACATGTTTATGTGTGTGCACATCTCTGTGGGGATGCACTTAGTACACCTATGTATGCCGAGGCCAGAAATCAACTTTGGGTGTTGTTCCTCCAGCACTGTCCACTTTATTTTTTGAGACAGGGTATCTTACTGCCTGGAAATCATCATAGGCTAGCTCCAGGGATCCTCCTGTCTCCAACTCTCCAGAGCTAAGATAGGAGTACGCAGCCATCATGCCCAGCATTTTTACGTGGGTTCTGCAGAACAAACTCAGGTTCTCATACTTCTAGGGCAAGTATTTTGCCCACTGAGCTATCTCCCAGCCCCTAGATTCATTAGACTTTAAAAACCACAAGGCAGAACCGGAAACAACCTTACTTAGAAGCCTCCCTCTATCCCCCAAATCATGGAACAGTCACAAAATTGTATTCCACGTGATCTGGTGCCAAATATATAAAGAAAGGAATTCCTAGGTCAAAATAGCAGAAGTTGTTAAAAGTAACGAACAGGAAGGTGGAACATGCAAAGATTGTTCTAGAACAAGTTACCCAAGGCATAAAGTGACCTCCACCCCACTCCAAAAGGGACCTATGTCACAAGTGCCAGCTCCTCCTTTCCAGCCACACAGCTGCAAGGATGAACACTCTACCTTCACAATGGCCCCACGGCCAGCCCTCACCTGGAACGTTGTGTATGGTGATGGCCAGGATGAGCAGCGCAATTCTCCTCCAGCTGCTGCCGCTGGGCTGCCCCGAGTTCCTTCTCACAGGCCCTGAGAAAGCAGGGCCCTCTGGGAGTCCGGCGGCCACCACCTTCTTCCTCTGGTAAGCCTCGCCATTCTCACTCTTATCTGTGCAGAAGCAGAGTGGGGAGAGAGGGCGGTGAACATGCATGTGGTGACACCCGGGCAGGCAGCAGCAGAAAGCAGCTTCCAAGCCAGGAACAGTACACATCCAGACTGATACGGACCAGGCGTTCCCCCCTGACTGCTCATCCACTCCCTCGCACATTCAGCCACTCCATGAAGGCTCAGTAAACAGACACTGTGCCAAGAAGAGTAAAAATGTCTGTGTAAGGCAAGTGATGCCGAGGACTGACCAGGGGCAAAGACTCTGGAATCAGAGCATCTATTTCATTTCCTGACCCAGCCACGCAGAAGCTGGGTAGTGCTTGCTACCCAAGTGGCTTAACCTTTCTGTGCTACAGTTCCCTGATTCAAAAAATGGAACCACAGTGACACTTATTTCCTGGAGGGGTTGTGAGGATTCAACAAGGGAGCGCATAAAAGTGTTTAGAGTATTCCAAGTGTTGGATGTATGGATTGGTAGATAATATGTTCCCTCTCTCCCAGAGCCCTACAGAATTACTTATGTGACCCTATTCCCAGTCACCCTGAGACTCAAAGGGGACCAATTCAGATGGTAGGCTCAGCCAATCATAGTTCATATCCTGGGACACACAGTGACTGGAGGGTGTGGGTGCTGAATCTGACAGGTTATATAATAAAGGGCAGCTGTGCCAGAACACAGCTGAGGAGGCAGCTGAGCAGATGGACAGAGGGAAGAAAATGTACCTCAGTAAGCAGAGGTGGGAAAGCACACAGTCAAAGAAACAGCAACGGTGGGAAAGAGATGAGCAAAGGGATGGACAGACCATGGCAGCCCAGGTCCTGAGGGACATTCACGGGCTGGCTATGGCACTCAGCCCCTACATTTCAGGAACGAACCTGCCCTTGAAAAAGTCCCACTTTGACTGTCAGGTATCATGGCTCATGTCCCAAATCCCAGCCCGTGGGAAGCTGAGGCATGCACAGAAAGAACCTGTCTCAAAAACAAAACAAAAACAAGCAAAACTTCCCCTGGTTTATACTCAAGTAGTGCTGTTCACTATGAGCAAGGCAGCCACATAGCCCAGTTTGCACTTGCCCCTCAGAACGATGCTAGTGATTCTGTGGTGCTGAGGATGGAATCCAGGGCCTTGCCCATGCTCGACAGGGCTGCCATTGGGCTGCACCCAGGCCTCCCAAGACAATTCTTGCTGTTGTTCTTTTTATTTTACAGTGCTGAGCTGCATGGGTCTCTCCCATCCTGGCAAGGCAGACCCCAAGCTATACCCAGTCCTCTGAGGGGGATGATGAGCATCAGTTCACCCTCACATGTATTCATGTTTGGGGGATCCTTTCTGTGCCCCTTACTGCATGACAGCCCATGCCCTTGGGCCATGCGACAAAGACCCTCAGCATTCCACTTCCCTTCTCCACTTAGGGAGTTTCTGCAAGCAGGACACTCTTGCTATGAAGAGGAAAGCCAGATAACAACGTCCCCAAACCCAGTATGAGAAACAAGGGGTATGGTGAAATGGCTCATGGGTTAAAGTGCTTGTCATACAAGCCTGACAACCTGAGTTTCATCCCTGGAACCCACAGTGAAAGGAGAGAATGGATCCCAAGGGTTGCCTCCTCCCCTGCGCACCCCCTCCCTGTCACACACACACACACACAAAGATAAAAGAACAAAGGACAACTCTTGGGTCTCCTGGCCTTGACCATGCGTACATCTGGTCAGATGCCTTCTTCTTTTTTGTCACAACAGGCTGGGTAGTTTGTCTCTGCTTCTAGAATGCCACCCTTAAAGAAGAGAGTCCTACTAGGGAAGGCGGACTGGGTCTACGATTCCTTTTCAGGGCACTGGACTAAGTGAACAACGCTTGGCATTTCAAAAACATGAGAATTCTTTAGAAAACCAGTTTGAATTTGCTTATGCAAACTATGCAAATGCAGTGCATAGAGTAAGAAAGTACCAATGGGCATGTGGTCTGTCACCTGTCAATGGCTGAAATTCACTGTGTTCCATAAAGAAGGAGGAGGCCTTGGTTGGGGATGTGGTAGAAATGAGCTTAGCATGTGTGGGGCCCTGAGTTCTATCCCTGGAAGGGGGGTGTCTGGGTTTGCTTTTCTGTTGCTGTAATAAAACAATCTGACCAAAAACAACCTAGGGAGGAAAGGTTTGATGCTTTCAGGTCACGGTCCATCACTGAGGACAGTCAGGCAAGGCGCTTAAGCAGGGATCTGAAGCAGAGCCCACGGAATGGAAGAAGGCTGCTTGCTGGCTTGCTCACTGGCTCATGTTACCTTTCTTATACAGCCTCAGTCCTCCTGCCTAGGGATGGTGCTGCCCCCAGAGGACTGGGCCCTCCCACACCAATCATCAATCAAGGAAATCCCTCACAGTCGCGGACTGCCACAGACCAGTCTGATCCAGGTAATTTTTCAACTGAGGTTCCCTCTTCCCACGTGACTCCAGGTTGTGTCAAGATGACAATAAAAACTAACCAGGTCAGGAGGGGAGGGAGGAGAGAAAAAGAGAGAGGGAAGGAGGGAGAGAAGGAGGAGGGAAAGGAGGGCAGGGAAGGCCTTTAACTGATCCTCCACAGTGCAAGTCGCCTCATTCACACAGCTGACCTTTGGAGAATGCAGCAACACAAAAACACAGCAACTTCTCCCAGGTAAGCCTTAGAGCTCAGTCCATACTGTATGGCATTCATGTGTGTGTGTGTGTGTGTACATACCCACATGAGCAGGACATGTGACTGGCACTTGGTCCCATGTTTACTGACTGACATTCTAAGCCATGTCCCTGTATATATGCATGTGTATTTCTATGTGCACAAGGCAGGAAGTGGTTGGCATACATTTTATATTGACAGCTAGATGATTTGGGCTCAGAAGGCCGGTTGGGAACCGTACCTAAGCTCCCCAGTCTAGAGGCATAAGCAGGACAGTTCATCTGCTGCTGATGAGCCTAAATGGGCCAGGGCACGCCGCCTTCTACTGGTTCAGCAATAGACATAACTGATACTTTGAGCCCCTCAGCACACAGGCCTGCCCCTGCCACTCTCCAATGGGAGTTGATAAAGAAACAAGCAAAAGATTTCTTGCTTTATGGGTATTATAATATAAGAGAGGACAGACAGGGAGCATAAACCCCTTTGCACCTAAGGGATGGAGCACATACTTTATAACAAGCATCAACACTCATACATATTTTTGTCTATGTTTCCAAAGCCCCTAAGGCATAAAGAATAACAGCCAGAAGGTACTGTGGGCAATGCCAATGGGCACTTCACTCAGTAGGAGTACAGAGCAGCCGCACTGAAGCAGGGAGGCTGGCCTGGCTGGCCCCAGGTCCCCAACACGTGCAGACTTCGATCAGCCCTTGGCAGCCAACAGGAGGGTGACAGAGCCTGAGGAACTTGTGAAAGTTAACTGAGCCCCTGCTGTAACAGTCACTAATGCATTCGCAAAGGAGACAGGGGAGTCCAAATGAACGGGCACAGCGCTCAGTGTATCAAAGCACTGGACCATCTGGTCTCTCCCGACAAGGTGGGTTACAGTGCACCATGAGTAGCCCACTAAGCATGTGGGCAAAGGATGACCAGTCCATGTTAATGGGCTTGTGTTTGAGTGAAGTGATGAGGATACTGAGAGACTTCCTAAAACAGGAAGAAAAGCTGGGGCACTTTTAAAGTCAGTTTTTGTACAGGAAAATAGGAAGAGCATTTAGGGAGCACACAGTTAAGGTCAGGCAGAAATGGAAACAGCACCAGCAAGCCCGGCTGATAAACAACATGGGAACTTATCCTTAATTCATTCTGAATCCTTACAGAGGAGGTATAGATAATACCCTTTAACAAACCAGGAAGCAGGTGGAGCGATGGTCACACAGCCTGTCCATGGATTTGGGGTTCAGCACAGGTCCTTCACCTTGACAGCCACTCTCAATCAGGGCCTGATGGTTGGCTGGGGGTGTGTAAGGGGTGATGGTTTCGGGTTTGTCTGTCTGTCTGTTCACCAAAAATAGGTGCTCAACAAAGTGAGAGTGGCCACTGTAGTGAGAAGGTCTCAGGGAGGGTCTGGCGGGCTCTGGCCATGTTATCACAGGGGAAGAGGCTCAGTGGGACACACTGTCTATCCTCACCCTTGTTCCCAGATGAACCTGAAAACACAGCACAGAAATGGTGTGTCTTAAGCCCACTACACAAAGTAAGGAAGCTCTAAGTGGAACGTATATTATGAACAGCAAGCCAAGAACACAGGGTTAGTTAGAATTCTTCCCAGGGTGAAGAAAGGCAAGATTTTGCTATTAGAAATGGTTGCTCATTTCATATTTATATGTTAATATATATATGTTTAAAACTTTTTTGCATGTGGTATATGCATGTGTATATGCTTGTGTTTGCAAAGGTGCATGTGAAGACCACAGGGTGGTCTTGCTGAACCCAGAGTTCACCAATTCATTAAGACTAGCTGGTCAGCAAGCTCCAGGGTCCTCCTGTGTCCACTTCCCCAGCACCAGGATCACAAGTGTGCATTACCATACCCAGATTTTTATGTGAACACTGGGGATCTGAATTCAAGTCTTCATACTTCTGTGGCAAGTACTTTTCCACAGACCCTTTCCCCACAAGTATTAAATTTAGAATTAATCCCTTAAGAATCCACACAGAGAAGGGGTCTGCTGAGGGACTTGGCCAGCTCTCTCCAAGCTGCGTTTCCACTGCCACACTTGGTGACAACTTCAGTGGGGCAGAGATGTTCCCTGCTTAAATCACCAGGTGACCTTATCAGACACCTGCTTCCCTGCTCTTTCCTCAACACAAGGCTAAGGATTCTTGTCCCTGCATATCAATAGATGACACCTGCTAAGCACAAGCCTGGGGCTATGAGCTGAGCAAACTCTGATGCCTGGGACATAGCTGCCCCAGTAACATGACAAGCCCTGAAGTCCTCTCCTGGGTGGTGGCTCTGAGCCATCTTGATCAGCAACCATTTTTAAAAAGCACAACAAAAGC